GGTGGCCTGAAGATGCTGGCCTTGTTGACATGGCTGAGATGGGGCACACTGCACCTTTGTCATCTCAGCAGGCTTGGCCCCCAGGACCTGGGAAGCCTTGTCACGGGGTCCTAGCCAGTTTGGGGTTATTGGACAGAAGCCAGCCTGGCACTTCTTTTCCCAGAATGTCAGCATTGGTGAAAGATTTAGTTTCTTGAAAAGCCAGGCTCTTTCTTGGAACAGATTTCCAAGGAGTGTAAGAAGGTGCTGCCCAGTGTCCTAAGCTGTGGCTCTCAGCGCTCTGCTATGGGTCAGCACCTAGCACAGGGCACTGAGGTTGAGGCCAGACCTCCTGTGAGAACCTGCTGTGAGAACAAGTTCTTTCCTCTCTTCAAGTCTTTTACGGCCATCCGACTCCATCCCCAAATGCATTATATGGACCCTGAAGCCTTTGTCTTTTCATGGGCCCTGAAATCCAAGAGAGGAAATGTGGCCACAGAAATGTACAAGTTAAATCATTTTTCAGAGGAAGGCACTGCCTCATTAGTAGTTAAGAATGTGAACATCTAGATACAGGTGATCCTCTTAAAAAGTTCTAACAACAATGTAACAAAAATAGCAAACGATAATTACAAGCAAGATAGTCTATTGTTTCCCCTTTGGTTCTTATCCACATGAAGTTTTTATTATTGACATAATTTTCTGTTGGGAGGGAAAAACAGGTAACTAGAGGAAAGGTACTTTGAAAACATTTATTAGATGCCTGAAAGTCAAGTGTCCTTTGATATTACAATTCCACATCGAGAAATTTAACTTAAGGAAATAATTAAAAGTGTAAAGCAAAGATTTAAATAGAAAAATGTTTGTAGCAGTGAAAGGTGAAAATAATCTGACTGCATAATTAGGGGGTAAAATGAATCCTTATGAAATAATGCAACTAAACATAATACATACTAATTCTCAATAAAGACATTCATATTGTATTCATAAAGAAAAAAAAGGCAGTGTCCAAAGTATAGCAGAATTGTAGATAAAAAAACGCTCAAGTGTTAGAATTTCTCTGTAAATTAGAGTTTAGGGATGATAGTTAAGTCTGCATTTCTGTCTGCAGTTGTAATTTTTAACAATGAGTACTTATCAGTTGGGTGATAAGGGCCACCTAAGTACTGGTAAACTAAGTAGCCGGGTGATAACACAGATACATTCCATGATCTTCCTTTGTCACTTGTGTGAAGTCCTGTAAATGGCAGAGGACTTTCCTCTGAGGCTTGGAAGCCAAAATACCTCCTTCACAAAATAGGTCAGACCAGGTGCAGAGAAACCACGTGCCCTTGGCAGAGCCTTGAGCCCCACAGAGAGCAGATGTCCCCTCCTTCCCGAGTCTCCCAGTCCATGCCCTCCAACACTCTTACTGAGAGGGACAGGGATCACTGGGAATGGTCACCTAGGGCACCTGAGATGTTCTTGCAAGCTCTTCTGCTCTCCATGGATCTCAAGGAACCCAAGAGGCCGGGGCAGCACTCCACAGCCTCAGCTGGGTAATAAACATCCACACTTCAACACAGGGCCTGCCACCTGCACGGGGCAGCTCAGGTCTCCGTGCAGCAAGAGTTTCAGATGCCATTCAGTGATATGCTAGCCAGTGTTACGGCCTACAATGACCTTGCCCAGCAACTTGGCTTTGGGACAATCAGTAGAAAAAAAGGCAAAAACTGTCCTAGAAAATTGCCCTTCCTGCCTGTCTTTCAAAACACACATGATTTTTTTCATTCAGAAGTTAGAGCTAATTGTCTCCTAAAAGAGTCATACAAAAATGTGTCTAATCAAGACAGATTTCTACACTGTTTTAAAAGGTGATAATCAACAGACTTCAGTGTCACATACAGTACAGGTCTCCTCCTTGAAGAATCACTAATCAGATGGCAGGCTCTAGCCCTCCAGAGAGGAATTAGAGCCAGCTGTGCTGAAGGCCGCTTGGATCCTGAAACCTCAGGGAGGTGAAGCCGGTAGCAATAGGGCTTTGTCACGGTTTCTGAGAGTTGTATACAACAACTTCAAGGACAATAATCCAAAGACTAGAAGAAGGTTTACTATAGAACTTCCTGCCACAGTGGGTGTCTGAAAGAGTGTTCTCATTTATCTTCCCATGGTAACCACTCTAGCACCTTGAGTGGTGGTCTCAGTCCCCACCCGAACCTCCCCAAATGAAGCTAAACTGTGCACCTCCTCCTCCAACTTTCCTTCCCATCACCAGGTCCTAGCGAGATGCTTGCGACAAGCACTAAGCTATGTTTTTGTAGAAAACCAGCTACTGCTGCTGCTGCTAAAGAACAGCAGAACCTGCATCCATTCTTAAGGATGAATTTCCCGGAACTAACTCTGTGCTCCTGTTGGCTGCAGGAGGAGATAACAGTTCCTGAACAGCAGCACTAGACAGGAAATCCTACACAGTCACATTCCCCCAAGTGGCACTGCTCACAGGTGCCCCTGCCCACCCTGCTAAGTAGTCATCTACAAGCTTCCCATAACTGTATGTTCTTGGCTGAGGTAGTGATTATATAAAACTGCTTTCAATACCAGACTGGGAAAGACCACTGATTTTCCCTGCCCAATCTTGGTCCCTGAAATCATACCTCATTATCCAATTCACTTTTCCAGGAAAGACACTCAGACTCTTACAATTGCAAAATCTCATCTGAGCCCTCTTTGCTTTGTACTCCTCACTATTCTGAATGTTCAAGTGGCACTATCCAAAATTAGCTTTGGCCCTCTAGATTGTGAACATTTAACAACTTGTGAAATCTGAGTGTGAGTTTCAGAACCCACGCTTCTTGTCTTGCTAATTAATCTTTTTATAAGTGATTTCCTTACTTGTAAATGATGTCTAGACACTTAATGAAACAACAAAGAGGCTACAATTCCTGCAAAGCTATACACCACAAAAATGTTCAAAAAGTGGTAGTGAATTCAGTGCAAGCATCCCCATTCTGCTCGAAGCTGTTTTAGAGCTCAATAGGAGCAATACCAAGTTACCAGCTGGTGTTTCCTCGAGGCAACCAAGTCAGTGAGGCCAAAAGGGCACTCATGCTGCTACCCTGCAGCTTTCTGCAAGCCCACTGGTTTTAAGTAATAAGACCAAAAAAGTAATAGGCACTGAGGTAGAGACTAAACATAAAGAATTATACCCTCCTTTCCACAAGGATCTGACTTTGATGTTACCCTCAATGAGTTTAAAATTAAAATTGCTTCCACTCACACAGCTAGCTAGTAAACTGCAATCCTTAAGATTTGGACTAGGGCTGTGCAACTGAAGGGCAGGATTTGTTTTGCTTTTGTTTTATTATTTTTGTTTTTTGAGATAGGGTTTCACTATGCAGTTCAGGCTGGTCTTGAATTCATTATGTAGTCAAGGATGGCCTCAAACTCAAGGAGATCTTTTTGCTTCAACCACCCTAGTGCTGGCATTAAGCATGTGCCACCATGCCCAGCAGGGCAAGGTTTCTTACCAGAGACACTGCTGACCTTTGGATAACTGTCAGGGAGTTTTCCTTTGCACTGTAAGATGTTTAGTAGCCCTCATGCTTCTGCTCACTAGATACTAACAGCATTCCCTAGGTGAGATAACCAAAAATGAGATCTCTAGACATTGTGAACTATCGGGACTTCTAAAGTGTTTGCTTGTTTGCTTGTTTTGAGATAGGCTCTCACTATGCAGTCCAGGCAGGCCCTATTTGGCCTCAAACTCACAGCTGTTCTCCTGTCTCAGCCTCCCAAGAGTTAGCCCCCCCACTATGGTTTTACTGGAAGAGCTACAGTAATAACACATGTTCACTGTAGTAGAGAAATTTATACATAGTAACTAAACATATCTATATCTGCAGGAATAACAAAGAGGCAGTTAGTTTCTTCTGTGCTTCCCTCTCTGCCTGTTTGCAGTTTTTTGACAAGGTAGCCTTAGCAAATGGCTTTATTTTTCTGTGGCTCCTCTCCTCTATCCAAGTACTCACACTGTTTACTATTGGGCCATCTGGAGACCTCTGTCTCTTCTCTGCTAGAGTTTACTGAAAAGAATGCATTGAATGATAGGTGTCTGGGATACAGATGCAGTAGTGTCCTTACCAAGGCATTGTAACCGGCCAGGCCTAGCTCATCAGCCTCCACAGGGAGGAGTGTATGTGCCCAGCTCACTGCTTTGCCTGGGAAATTGGGTGAAGCTTAGTTAGAAGAGCCCAGCTTGCCTCTTAGGCTTGATGATGGCCTAATCAAATTTTGAAGGCTTATCCTGTTTCTCCCCAGTCAGATAGGAGTTTGCATTGTCAGCCATAATTTGTTGAGGGTAACACTCCCTAGGCACCTGGTCCTGTAACTGTGAATCTCCTCCACCCAGCTCCAGCCAGGAGAGGTCTCTGGCAAAAAGGATGCTTCCTTCTTAAATGGCAAATGCCCCAATGCTGCAACAGGGCTCAGGAGGCATTGTATCTCCCTCTAGGCTGCGGGCATTTGGGAGACAGAATGCCTTTAAAGAGGAGTTGAGAATTTCTGCTCTGGAAAGGAACAGGATTCTGGCTGAACAGAAAATACTTCGGCCCTTCTTGAGGACTGGAGAGCAACCTCTCACCTCCGCAGCAGATTTACCTGCTTATAAAAGCACAGTTGTATGTAGCCAGATAGTAACACTTGCACTTTAAAAAGTAAGTTTTTAAAAACATTTCCCCTAGAAGGAGGAAGGAGGTCCTGCCTGCCTTAATCAAGAAGCACTATCAGTGTGACTTATTCAGACTTTAGGATTGCGGCCACTTTGTGTACAGTCACAAAATTTTAAGAAGAAACTCGGTAAGTCACTTACCTCACACCTATCCTGTCTACCCGTAGTACCCATTTCAGGGGGCCTGACTGGTTGAATGCTGGTCAAAAATCACTGATGCCGGTTTGAGTGAACGAACAACGGAATGAGCGAATGATGAGGGTTCCCGCTCCGCCCTTGCAGAGCTGGGGTATCCCGAACTCGCCACAGCTCTCACCTTGTGCTGCTTCCAGGCTGCGCCCAGCGGCTTCACCTCGTGCTGGGCGTGCCGGCCGTCCTCCAGGCACACGTAGCACACCGGGCTCCGGCAGCTGGCGCAGTACATGCTGTAGTTCTCCAGCTCATGCTCAGGGCACGTGGGGAACTTGCGCGCCGCGCCCCCGCTAGCGCCTCCAGGGCTCTTACAGCCGCCGCCTGCGCCGGTGGCGACCGGGGCCGGCTCGGGGGGTGCGGGTGGCGGCGGTGGCTGGACCAGGCGATGCTTGGCGAAGGGGCCCCGGGACGGATGGCACTTGAGCTGGCAGGCGGCGCAGTAGAGCACGTCGCACTGCTCGCAGAGCGCTGCCGCGGGCTCTGGCGGGGTGCGGTCGCACAGCTGGCAGACAGCCACCGCCGCGGCCGCAGACGCCCCTGGCGCCGCCCCGCGGCCCTGCTGGAAGCGCTGCACGATGGCCTCCAGCAGCCGGTTGCGCTGAAAGCCGCGCAGGCCGCGGTGGTCCAGGGAAGCGCTGCGGTGGCATTGCGGGCAGGTGATGGAGCTGGAAGAGCACGCGGCCAGAGAAGAGCAGGCGGCGCCCCGGGCTGCGGCCGCCGAAGATCCTGGGGGTGCGGGCACCGTGGGCAGCACGCGGACCCCGTTGGGGGACTTGAGGCTCGGCGTGTAGGAGCCGTAGCCGCTGTCGGTCTCACTATGCAGGCTCAGCTTGTCGGCGTGGTCCCCGCCGCCTGCAGCCGCGCCCCCCGCCGCGCCCCCGGGGGCCCCCGCTCCACCAGAGGCCACAGGGTCCGAGTCTGGACCCCGGGGCAGCAGGAGCGGCGGAGGCAGGTGCTGCTCGCCGTCCGGGGTCTGCACCGCGATGGTGCGCGCGCACGGCAGGCAGACATTGTGCGAGCAGGGCAGGATGATCGGCTCGCGGAACAGGGCGCCGCACACCGGACACTTCAGCTCCTCCTCCATAGCCGCGGTCGGAGCTGCCTGGGGCCGGTGGGCAGCGCGCAAGACTCTAGAGACCGGCAGGGACCGGCCGGCGGTGTCCGCGCCTCGGGGCGGGAAGCCGGGGGCATTCCCCGCGCGCCTGCTGCGAGCCTCCTCTCGGGGTCCTGAGGCCGCCTCCCGGGACGACTAGGGCGGGCGAAGGGCGCGTGCTCACCTCCTGCGATCGCGGGGCTCGCGTGGCACCGGGGCTGAGTCCTCTCAGCTGCCGCTTCTGTCCTCGCCCCGCCCCGTCCGGCGCGGGCCGCGGCTGGCCCAGCACCACCAGGCGGCGGACAGCGCCCCCCGCGTACGCCCCGCCGCCTCTGCTAGGGACCGGCCCGTGCGCCCAGCAGTGACCTCTTCCCTGTCTCGGCGCTGCTCCTGCGGCGCCCCTGACCTTGGCCGCACGACGCTGCAGCGGGGAGCGGGGGGCGGGAGCCGCCGGCTCGGGGACCCCCTCCCTGCCCGCGCCGAGCGCCCAGAGTTGTAATTTCTAGCTCAGAGAGGAATGGGGCGGGGAGGCGTCCGCGCAGCGAATAGGGGCTCGCCTCCTACTGCCGGGGACCAGGGGTGATCCCGAGGATTTCGCGGGGAGGGTCCTGCTTAATAACTGCGCACCGCGCGGTGTGGATGGAGGGGGTGGAGACCCTGCCCCGCCCGGGTCTGCCATCACGTCTCCAGCCGGCTCCCGCCCTCCGCACTCGCCTCATAAAAGGCTAAAACCCGGTCCTACATGGCCAGTCTTTTAGAAATGGATAGGCGGCACGGCGGAACAGTCGCCTCCTAAATCTATGATAAAGCAAAATAACGCGAGTCACAAAATGTCGGACAGCCTGGAGCCAAAGGGCGAGATTTTATTTATGAATCGAGCCGCAGGCCATTTTGTCCTGGTGTTTGCACCCGGAGATGTTCGGCCGGGTGGAGGGCGGATCGGAGTCTGCACTCGGACGGGGACCCGGCGGGGGAGGGGTGGACGCGCGCCTGGCGACCCGCGAGCACGCGCGCAGGGCCCGGTGGGGAGCGGCGAGCGGCGAGCAGGTGTGCGCTTGTGAATGGAGGCCACCTCGCCCGCCGCGCCCCCAGCAGCCGTCTGTCTGCAGCAGGGCTCTTCCCTCGCCGCAAGAGGTGGTGCGGGAGCGCGTGCAAAGGTTCGCAGCGCGGCAGCTCGGCGGCACACACGGCGGGACCGTGGCTTTAAGACCGATATGCCTGCGGAATTCGCGCCTTCCCGCTCCCCGGTCTCTGTGCTCCAGACAAAGAGGAAACCTGGCGCCCACGCGGCAGGCGCGGGGCCGAGCGTGCTCCAGTGTGGGTCCCTGCAGCCCTGCCTGGCCCGCGCGACAGGGGCCACCGGGGAGGGGCGCGCTCACGTCCTCCAGTGACACAGTGTACCTTGGGGTCAGGAGACCCTCCCGCGCCCCACCCGGCATTCCGCCTGCAGAAGCTTGCCGATACTTTCCTTGCTCAGCATCCTGATCTGTTAGAGTAGTATTATAATAACATGTGTGAGAACCGAGTGTGATTATCGTAAATACGGACGGGCGCCCTACTTTCCGTGCATCCTCAGTTCAGCTTCGCCCCTGCTGAGCAGCTTGCTCCGGACTTCAAAAGGAAGAGGGGGCCAAGCTGACATCAGACAGAGACCACATGGGGCTAAGAGGCCTGGTTCTCCTTGCCTCCATAAAGGGAGCAAGGAATGCACCCAGCCTCAACGTCTCCGGTGGGGAATGGTGGCTCCTGGTCTAATCTCCCTTCCAAAGCTGAGGCTCAAGAGTTGAGTTGAGTGCATGCAACACTCCTAGGAGCCCTGGAGAAGGTGGCCATGGGGGTGCCCGTGCAGAGGCAAGCAATCATAGGATACACCCCCCCCCCAACAGGAGCAGGTCTCACCGGCTCAGCCCTGTTTTCTGGTGACTGGAGCGGTCATAACCTCTACTAGGACAGATGACCCTTGATTTCCAGTCATCATATACCTGACACTTGTTTTGCTTTGTGATTTTCATCAGGATTCCACACCTATGCCTCTTTCATATGCCTCCTGCCACACTGCCCCAATGCCATGGCCTAAGTCAGCCTGGCCTTGTACTCTCCTGGGGCCCAGGCTTTGCCATCTGGAGGACTGGTAACCTGACATTGCTTCGCTGGAGCTGTCGCAGCCAGCCTCATGCTTCTCCATACTTACAGCAATTGTCAAAATCTTCATTCTGTCCCAACTGTGCCATGAACCATATGTATAGAAAAGTCATTTTATCCCTCTGAACCTCAGTTTTTCTCTATTACAAAATTTAGGGATAGAATTCATTGAGTTTTAAATTGCCTTCTGGCTCTAGATCTCTGCATATTAGTAGTTGTTAAGAAGGCTATATCTCACTCTTTAAAAAATTACTTTCATAAATTTAATCCCAGCACAGAATAACACATCCACTTTTCCAAGTCACCTGTATATTATTAAAAGCTGGCCTGAGCAGCTGGTGACCCAAGTAATAATATTTGCATTGTAAATCTTAACAGCATGAAATTATATTCTCCTATGTAATCTTATTTAATCCTAACAACCCAGGAAATAGGCATTACATTTTCCTAAGTTTGAAATGTGCATATCTTACATTTTAATGCTGTTGAAATCAAGAAATATGCTACAACTGACCCACACTTCTGCCTATCTTTACCTGGCATATTTCTTGATAAATTGATGCTGTTTCATTCAATCACTTGGGGTCCCTGGAAAGAGTATGTGTGATTATGTGTAATTAACAAGTTCACTACCCCTTGCCAGCAAGGCAGAAAAAAGGCACTTAAGTGAGTCACTTTGGGTAATGCTCTCCAGGCTGAGTTTCACCCCAGTGCCTCAGAAATGCTCAAGAGGTGGACTCATGTTACCTCCACCAAAAAAGTACAGACATGATAAATAATTTACTCCAGCAAACATAGCAAGTTAGAAATAAAACAGTCATCTGCATGGGCTACAGAAAACTCTGAATTTCAAGTTAAAATAGAATGGAAGTTAAGTCTGTATTGGTTAAAAATAGACACCGAAATCTCAAGTACAAGAATTTCTAGACAAATTTTAAATAAAAGATTGTGGTGTTTTTCCTTCAATACAATTTGTTTATTTTTTGCAGTTTAGGACAATTCAGGGAAATGAATAGAAATCTACAGCCTGGGAAACACACAACCTGGAGTAGTTTGTCTTTAACTCAAAGAAAGCAGCCACATCCAAGCCATGTACCTTTGTGGCAAAATTAATGAATGATCATCACTGGACGCACAAACCATCCTCTTCAGCAAGTGCAATTGACTTCTTTTCCAGAAAACGTTTTGTAGAATAATCTTAACTCTAGCTACTCTCACTTCAGACTCTTCAACTGGTGGTGAACAATCTTGTTTTAATATTTTGAGTATCCAACAACTACCTTCTTCTAATTCTGAGACCCAATTTCTCTGGCTGCCACTGACCTAGTCTTAGAAAAGACTTGTCTTAGAAAGACCTGTCTTTCCCTCTTTTGCGAGAAGAAGCTCAGAGAATCAAAGCACAGAATAAAATGATTTCAATTTTCAGGTTCTTTATGTGCCCAAGGTATCTTCATAGTGCAAAAAAGAAAAAAGAAGCAAAAAAAAAATCTAATATTAATACCACAAAACGGATTTGGGCTCCACACACTTTTCCCTGGTTGCAATATTTTACATCTTCATAAGCAATTCTTTTTAAGATAACAAGAGGCATTATGGTAACCATTGTTGATCACCTTGTATTTTGTTTTTACATTATGTATTATGTCCATCCTTTTGATTTGACTGACTCTGTCCTAGTATGTCACATTTGGTTTTACTTTCTTAAAAAAAAAAGTAATAAGAACTGTGGGAGTAATAAAACTCAAAATGTGTAATTGTCATTGTACAAAAGAAAGGAAAAGAAAGTTCTCTAAAAGATATAACTGCATATATATTTAAGTGTATAAGATAGATAACCATATTACTGAGTTTTGTTGGATTATTGAACAAAACTGTTTGCAGTCTCACTGTTTAAAAGTCCCCTCTATATGCTTTAATTTTGTAACTTCAACAACTATTTCTAAGATGATAATATGTAATTAACTAGTGATTTCCTACTGTTTATTTTTTCTGAAATTCTGTATAACTTGTACCCTTTTTCAGTTTTTTTTTCTTTTTTCTCCTTAAATAAAATTTAAAAATTAAAAAAAATATTTTACATCTTCATGGCACCCTCTCATTTCTCTTGTTTAATTGGATCCCCACAGCAATGTTGCCTGGCCTAGCGAATGGTGAGTCTGGCAACTTCTCACCAACCAAACCAAAACAGCTTGACTCCAAACTTGTGCACAGCAGTTTAGTCCACTTAATGTGGCTAGGACAGCCAGAATCTCCCCTTTCCAGAATGCAGAACTGGGAACTATAAAAGGGACTGGATAGGCCTCTAATGCAGGGACTCAGGAACTACTGTGTTCTGGAAAAAACAAAGAGCAGAGAGCAAAAAGTAAAGTAGCAATTTGGGGAAATTGAGGGTCTTCAAGTCTGGCATGTTCTGAAACTAACTCTCTCTCTCTCTCTCTCTCTGTCTCTCTCTCTCTCTCTCTTTTCTTTCTTCCTTTCTTTCTTCCTTTATTTCCCCCCACAAATGCCTAGCACATCAAGGGGTTCAGAAAAGATGAAATGGGTTGATCCACTTGCCTACGCAGACAGTTAAGGAAACCTGCTTATTTGGTTGGATACTTCAGTTACCTCTGTCTGGCCACTTCTGCTTATTGTTTCTCCTGGGCTCTGACCTTGACTGTTGGTTGGTTCTGCCTTTCCACTCTAGGATGTTGTTTGCTGCCCATAGTTCGATCTTCGTGGTTGGTTAAGTGTCACCTCCCTTTTTCTCTTCCCCGTCATTGACTCTAATGGGCTGTGTCCTTCCCTCTGCTGGCTTCCTCTCCCTGACCACAGCAGGCCCGGGCTCCACAATGTCCTTGCTCTCTCTGCTCAATATTGTCTCTGACAGGAAATCAATAGGATGTAGGGATGTACTTGGGAAGGCCTGTCAGTCCAGCTGCATCCCAGATTAGAAAAAGGAACAAGCCCCCCAAGGTTTGTAAACTTTAGTGCATTGTACAGTGTGTAACAAGTTATTCGTTGGGGATGATGGTGATCAGAGCAAAAGTGGACTGCTGTGTGGAAGTGCTTCAAACTCCAATAGTTTAGTTGGGCCACCTCCCTGCAGGGCTCTGCCACAGGGAAAGAGCACGTTGCCCAACTGGCAGACCATCTCCAACACAGCAGAGTGCTAGTGGCCACACACCACGTCACTCTCCAAGTCATCAGCCAAAAGCATCCTTTATGACAGATATCCCTTCTCACCTTCTTGTAGAAAGTCTGTGAACATCAACCACATTTGTTTTACATTTTCATTTTTTCTTCCTCTTTTATGAAAAAATAAAATTTCATAATGAAACACTACAAGAATAACAATAGTTAATACATTGTGTATTTATTATCTTCAAAATAGTAACTCAGTGACAAAAAGATTTGATCACCCACATTTGACTGATACCTCCTTGA